AAACTGGTTGTTTGAAAAGATGAATGAAATGAGAAACTTTCAAGCTAGACTGAGCAAAGAGGAGGAGAAAAAGGAGAAGACTCAGTAACTAGAATCAGAAGTGAAAGGGAGCTGGGAGGGGTGGCATCTCCTGGGATCCAGCACTCAGGAGGCTGAGGCAGGAGAATTGCTTTGAGTTCAAGTCCAGCCTGAACTACATAGTGAAACACTGTGAAAAAAAGAAAGAAATGAAAGGGGATTTTACACCAATTTTACAGAAGTTCATAGCATTATAAAGGAATATTGTGAACAATTGAATGCCAATAAATTAAGTTACTTCGTTGAAGACAAAATTCCTTATCTGACTCAACAAGAATATAAAAACCTGTGACTAAGGCTGTAACAAACAAGAAAGTGAGTTCGTAATCAAAACTTCCTCTAAGTAAACGCCAGGCTCAAATGGCTTCACTGATAATTTCTACCAAATGGCTGAGGAAGAAATAAAAATCCACTGGGTGTGGTGGCTCACGCCTGTAATCCCCACACTCGGGAGGCTGAGGCAGGAGGATCATTGTGAGTTGGACACCAACCTGGGCTACAAAGTGAGCTCAAGGCCAGCCTGAACTGCCTAGAGAGACCCTGTCTCAAAAAAAAAAAAAAAAATTAAAAATCCTTAACTGGCCTCTGCCTACTGGATACCAGCACTGGAAGGCCCTTTCCTGCAGGCAGCCAGTTTGGGCAGAGAGAACCAGCAGATCTGCCTCCACCTGCTGGGTGCCTCCTGCTGTGGGCAGCCAGCAGGAGCAGGGACAGGCAGCCAGGTAAACCCTGTGCACCTGTAGGCCACCACTGGAGGCCCTTGATTTCTTCGGGCAGCCATCACCTACTAAGAGAATCAGACAAGCACACCCCTGTGTGTCTGCCACCATTATCGGAATCAGTGTAGACACACAGGCTAAGAGAAGCAGCCTCACTTCCATGCATCCCTGATCACTGGGAAAGACCCAGTGTAGCTGCACAGAGCTGGAGAAGCCTATCCAACACCCAGCTACCTCCCTGTAAATCTAGAGTCAGAGGAACACACTGCTCTACAACATGGAGAGGCAGCCAATGCGGGAAGTGCCTGGGGCTCCACAACCAGCTTGTTGGGAGGAACCCAGGAAAATGTCAAGACGAAGGAGCAAAGACAAACTCAGGCCTCCAGCCCACACAGAACAAGTCTGGGAGATACAGTCATGGAAGAAAATGGAAGTCACTCACCTGAAATCTCTGAGAGGACAGCAATTGAAGTAAGGAAGCAACTTCATGAGATAGTAAAAGCAGTCAAATCAGAAATAATGTCTCAGGTGAAAGAAGAAATCACAAACATATTGAAAGAATTGCTCAGCATGTCTAAAGAAGATATAGATAAGAAAGAGGAACATAGGAAAATGATGGAAACCTTGAATGAATTTAGAGGAATTACAGTGCATGAAACATATTCAAAGAAAGACACAAGAAATTAAAAAGTCAATCAAAAGTTGGCAAAACCACTTGAAAGAGACTGAAGACAGACTTTCAAATCCTGAAGATAGGCTTGTAGCTAGTAATAATGAAAGGAAAGATCTCTTAAAACTAACAAGAAATTAAGAAGTAATAATTCAACAGCTGCAAGATGACACAAAGAAGCGTAATTTAAGAGTTATGGATGTCAGTGAAGAAGCAGGGGTCAAAACAAGCATTAAAAGGCTATTTACAGAAATATTAGCAGAAAACTTCCCAAACAATGGAACTTGATTTGACATGCAGAAAAGTGAGGCATATAGAACTCCAACTAGCCATAAGCAAAGTAAATCTACACCCAGACATATAATAACCAACATCCCAGACATTCAGCACAAGCATAGAATACTAAAAGCTGTTAGTTAGAGAAAAGAAACAAATCATCTATAAGGGAAAACCCATCAGAATCACATCAGACTTATCAATACAAACCATCAAATCAAGAAGAGTTTAGAGTGAAGTGTTTCAAACCCTGAAAGAAAACTTCCAACCCAAATTGATATGCCCTACAAAACTATCTTTCAAAACTGATGGAAAAAATAAGATATTTCCATGATAAAGAACAACTAAAGGAATTCACAACCACCAAACCAACCCTACAAAGAGTGCTAACGGATATTCTAGAGAGAGATAAAGATGACCATGGTTCCAGGAACAGCAGCAGAGGAGGATCACTAAACAAGACAAATTGAATGAAGGGGAAAAGTGGAGAGCCAGCAACAGAAGGACAGCATGGCAGAGACAAACCAGTGTATGCCGGTTGTAACCATTAATGTAGATGGCCTCAGGTCAGTAATAAAAAGAAACACAGGGAGAGTGGATCAAGAAACAAGATCCATTGATATCTGGCATACAAGAAACACATTTAGCTGGAAAGGAAATTCACAGACTGAAAATCAAAGGAGAGATATCAGTTGCTCCATGTGACAGAAGACCCGAAAAGTGAGAATAATTTGCCCATCAACTACAGGATGAATAAGAAAGATATGGTATTTCCATGCAGTGGAAAGTCACCCAGCTATCAAGTAGAATAATCTCAAGGCTCTTGTAGGTAAATGGGTACAACTGGAGATCATGTTCATGGGCAAAACAGTTTTAATGCATATGCATGATCCCTAGCTCTTGAAACAGAAGGAGTTAATGGGGCCCAAAAGCAAAATAGTTACTGTAAGAATAATAGAGGAGTAAACACCTGGGAGGCAAAGGTGGGTAACTACTGTTAGTTTCTTATTGTCTTTTTTTTTAAATTGGTACGGGGGATCGAACTCACAACTGCCTGCTTGCAAGGCAGGTTCTTATGCCACTGAGCTAAATCCCCCGCCCCCTAGTGTTTTGTTTTGAACTCTTGTATTTTTACAGTTTGTTAGGTTTGACTTTGTTCTGCCTTGTTAGATTTTATTCCAGCTGAAGGTATGGGCAGCTATTTTGAACATAATGGGATATATTATGATAATCATGGTTAGTTTCCTATTATATTGCTTTTAAGTCTTATAATGCTTTCATTCATTTTTTTGGTTTTATTCTGGCTTGTTTTGTTTGATCTTATTATTATTATGTGTGACGGTATGAACAGCTTCTTTGAAGAAAGGAGACATTATGGTAGCCATTGCTGATTTTCTATCATCTTGTTTTAAAGTCCTATTATGCTTTTGTTCTTCTGTTTTGATTGGTTCTATTCTGCTGTGTTTTATTTGATTTTATTATGTGATAATATGGACAGCTTTTTTGAGGAAAATAAGACATTATAGTAGCCACTGTTCATTTCCTGTTATCTGGTTTTGAAGCCCTGTAATGCTTTCATTCTTTTGACTGGTTTTATACTATTTTGTTATGTTTGATATTATTGTGTGTGAAGGTATGCTCAACTATTTTGAAGAACACAAGAGACGTTATGGTAGCCACTGTTGACGTCCTGTTGTTACGAAGTCCTGTGTTGCTTGCATTGTTTTGTTCTGATTTGCTTTGTTTATTTTGTTTTGTTTTCTTTTGTTTTATTCTCTTTAAAATAAAAATAATTAAAAACCCTTTACCAACTCTTCAAAGAAATAAAAAACAAAGGAGAAGGGAACACTTCCTACCTCTTTCCATGTGACCAGTATCACTCAGATACCAAAACTAAGCAAAGACCTCACAAGAAAATTACACACTCTTCTGAGTATAAATGCAACAATCCCCAATAAAATCCTAACAAAACCTCAACAACACAAGGGAATTCTACATCATGAATGAGTGAGGTTTTTCCAGGAATGAAAGTTTGGTTCCATATACGAAAATCAACTAACATCATACACTATTAATGAAGGACAAAAATCACATGTCCATCTCAAGAGGGACAGAAAAAGTGTCTGATAAATTCCATTCCCTTTCACAATAAAGACACTCTCCTTGACTTTGGTAAAAACTCACAGGTAATATTTTACTTGTGAATGAAAGACTCTGCTGTGCCCTAAGGTCAGGGACAAGTCAAGGTGGGCTGCTTAGCACTGACAACAAAGCAAGAAAAAGAAAGAGAAGTCATCCAGATTGAAAAGGAAGCAAAAATTCCTGTTTGCACATGGCTTGATTTTATATAAAGAAAATTCCCAGCAATCTCCAAGAAAGCCATAGGACAATTTCAGCAGTTGCAACTTAGAAAATTTGTTTAGAAAAATTTTACAATTTTTTTTTTTTTTTGTCTTTTTGAGACAGGGTCTCACTATGCAGTTCAGGCTGGCTTTGGGCTCACTTTGTAGCCCAGGCTGGTCTCAAACTTGCCACAATCCACCTGCCTCAGCCTCCCAAGTGCTGGGATTACAGGAGTGCACCACCATGCCCGGCTAAATTTTACAATTTTAGTCTGCAACTTTTAGTAATATCCACTCAGACACATTCATATAACATCTAGCACTTTTGAGCACTTTGTATGTAGTAGACATTACCCATGTGCTTTTTGTATATTGATGCACATGGCCATATCAGGTAGATTTATGATCATTTCACAACAGGGAAAACTGAGAAAAATAATGCTTAAGTAATTTAGTCAAAACTTTATACTGAGAAATTAGCAAAGCCAGGATTATACATTTTCTTTTCTCAGAAGTTAGCTGAATGAGTTTATTTGAAGATGATAAGGCACATAAGACCTTTGGATTTGGAATTAGAATGATGTCTTTCCTCTGGCTCTGTCACCGGTAATCCATGTGACCATGAATGAACATTTTACCTTCCCTGGGCCTCTTTTCCTCATCTTTAAAAAGAAAACTTAGACTAAATGATGGCTAAGGCTACCACCTCTAATTCTTTACACTGGACTTGCTCTCTGCCTGCTTTCTAGATTACAAAGTCTCTCCTTTTCTCAGTCATCTGGGAAAGACAAGGGCCAGGAGAAGACAGCTGCTTACTTGCCGTGACAAGAAACAGGAGAAACTACAGCAGGACAGCATGTCACTTGCACAAGTTGCTGCTTGAGCCCGTGGTGGGGTTGGGTGAGAAGTATAGTTATAATTAGAGCAGTGGCCTGTGCTGACCGCTTCACCAGCCTCCCGAAGCACAGCTGGACCTGCCCAAGGCACCACCGGGACTCGGACACTGTACTGGCCTTGAAATGATCCTTCTTCAAAGGGTTTTTCTTGTCCTTCTGGGGAAGAAAACCCATTGTTCTAAAAAGCCCCACTTCCCATCCAGCTTCCTTTGCCAACTGCCCTTGCAGGAGAGAGTGAGTGTTGGTACATACAGGGGAAGGGAATCCTCGTAAGCTGAGCCTGGTCACATTGCCCCTTGTGATATAGTTTTATTTTTAACTTGGAAACACTCGAACTATTTCTGTTGAACTTTTCTTCCCTTTCTTTGCCTTCCCCACAGAGCTCTGGCCTGTGCTGCAGTGGATACACCAGCAGCCACCTCCCTGTGATCTGTTAGCTCCCTGTCCAGGGACGCAGTTGCAGCAGATGCTGACTCAGCCTGCACCCTTAAGGTAAGCTTTCTGCAAAGAGCAGGTGCGGCAGGGGGACCTGCAGACAAAGTCAGGCAGACCGGGGCTTGCTGTGCTTTGCTTTTGTGCCTGGAGAAAGTGGGTTGCTCAGCAAATATGTTCTAAGTAGGGGTGGGAGAAAGGCTGGTGCTCAGCAAAACACACTTCAAGTGTAAAGTCAGAGCAGCTCAGCGTCTAAACTGCTTTCTGACAGCTTATGGTCTCCCTGCCACCAGTTTTGTCTTTAAAATTACATAGTGGTAGCTTGGGAGGGGGTTGGTGGGGAGAGTGAGAAGATGCTAAAGAAATGGGTAGAAGACCCAGAACCTAGAATTCCCGTTTTCTGGTTTAAATGTGCTCTTTTCTCTGATCAACGTTTGCTGTGTTAATTGCAAGTCATTCTCAGGCGGCTTAAATTCCATCTACCGTGTCCCACTGCTGGTTAATGTAACACAATTGTGTTTACTGCACATACCGCTGAAACCCTGCCTGTTCTTCTCTAACAAAATTCCATAGATGTGACTATCTCCTTCCTAGTACTCTTGAATCTAAAATGTATCTATGAAATATAAATGAAAAAAGTGTTTTATGAATTGAAAATCTACAGACTCGTGCATCCAAACCAAAAATCATTTCCAAATTGCACATCCATGGGCACAAAAGTAACATGACTAATGTTACTTGAAGCACTGAAAGCTATAAAATGTAGACAGAGTATTTATAGCTTCTGAAATAACTATACAGTGTGGCATACACAAAAAATTGGCAATAGAAGGGAACACATTCATTTTCTGGTTCAAAGTTCAGCTGAGGACATCCTAGGAATGGCCTATGCAGCAGAAGGAATTCTATATCTCTGAACTTTTAAGTGCTCAGGGTAAGGCTACTAATGCCAAGTAAAAGACCTAAAGCAACAACTCAGAAACCCTCGCTTTTGGTTCCTTCTTGCTGGTCTCTGTAACCTCCAGATATATTCCAGCACTCTGCTGGAGGTGTCTGTGTTATGATTATGCCCTTTTGCTAGCACAGGCAAATTCGCTGTGTATAACTGCCCAACTCATTTAATTTTACCAATGTTTCCATGGCACCAAAGCTGCAGAATGCATGCTGGTCTGCTCTCCTGGGGAGACAAGGGTGCTGGCTTAGGCTGACTCACAGCTGCCCCTAAGTAATCCAGCTAATGAAGCACTTCCTTGGCCAGTGCCACAGTGACTTAAAACACTGATACCACTGTAGCACCAGAGAAAAGAATTATCTAGCTAAGTAAATAACTAAAAAATTTAAAGATAGTGTGATGGATTAAAAACTGATGGTCACTTTAAACAACAGCTGAACTGAATAAATGGTGGTAAGTGTAGATGGTCTGTCTGAGGACTGTTTCCAGCATGAAAAGGAGACCTGGAGAGGAAAAAGTATCATTGTCAGTTCTCGTAAGCCTTGTTGTTTGGAGTGTTGGTTCTCCTGGAGGAGTTTGTCATGCTGGCTTCCCTAAAATGGGTACTGACAGAGTAGGATCATTGCTGTGATGTTGCCTAGCCATTTGGTTTAAGAGTCTTGAGAATCAATTTGCAAAGTTTTTGAGAGGCTAGCCAAAAAGGCAGTCCCAGTATGCCATAAACTATATTGGAGACTCTGGTTGGAGCCTGGAAAATCAGAGTACTGATGGTAATTTTGCTGGTTAAAATGAAGCTCAGGAAGCTTCTATTGAGAACTGCAACAGTTACTGCATCCCAGGGAGCATATTTTGTTTTGGTTGAACGTTGTTCTGCATTTTGCTTGTGTTTAGAGATATTTCCTTATTGGGAACTTGGCCAAGAGTCCCGATTGTCAATATTGAGAACTTGGCAAAGAGTCTCAATTGTCAATCTCAAGAATGTCATGAGAGAAATAAAAACCAGAGACAAGTATCATATTCCAACAATGGCTGGGAAGTCAATGTCTCTGGATTCAACTTCCTCCACTTCCAAATAGCTACTATTTATTTGGTCTACACAGTGATAGGTGGGGATAGCAAAAGATTACAATTCATCCGAAGGCTCTGACTCCAGAGGGCGTAGATAGTCTTATGTTTGAAGTATCTTGACACAAGTATAGTCTTGTGATGATTTAAGAAGGCATAGATGATCTTATGCTTACAAGTGTCTTGTCCTTGAGTGTAGTCCTCAGATGACTTAAGGAGGCATAGATGATCTTATGCTTGGAAGAGTCAAGGGGAAATCCCAGATTAGTTTCATCAACAATCCCAGTTCTTCCTTTCATCCCACAGGGAAATACACAGATCCAGTCACTGTGAATTTGTGGTTACCTGGGTGGCAGAAAAATTTTTGTGCAGTCTACTGTTGGGGTTGATAGCATGGTTACTGCTGAGAGCTCTCAGTCAGACGTGTGTTGGAAATTAAGAGAGAAGAGCCACTAGAGTGATTTGAAACATTTGGCCAGAGAGAAAGGTCTAGTGGAATTGTATGTAGATAGCAAGCGTGAAACAGAGGAGAATACAGTTTTGAGAACAGGAAAAATAAACTGAAGTTTTTCACCTGAAGAGAAGACTTTATGTGAATTGCAGAGGATCCTTGTTTTTTTAATCCTGCCATGCCATGTTAAAAGTGAATGGGGGGGCTGGGGATTTAGTTCAGCGACATAATCGCCTGCCTTGCAAGCAGGCAGTTGTGAGTTCAATCCCTGGTACCGACAAAAACGAAAAAGACAAAAAAAAAAAAGTGAATGGGAAGCAAGACTGTGATTGTAATAGTTGTTTTAATATAATTTTAATGTCATTTTTAAGTACATGTTTGTAACCAGGTTGATTAATCAAAATATTGTGGTTTGAACCTTGAATTTGGTCACCCTTTGAATATTTTGCTTTTGGTACAGAAATGAGTGTAATAAGAATTATATATGTGTAGTTGTTGTATTAGTGTAAATCTGAATAGACTAAGACATGTTAACTTTTCACAAATCTGCTACTAAAGAATATGGGTTAAGGAAATGTATGAATAGTTATTAAGCTGGCCAGGGGTGGACTGTGGTGGATTAAAAGCTGGTGGTCACTTTAAACACCAGCTGAACTGAGTCAGCATAGTGCTGAGTGTTAATGGCCCACCTGAAGGATGTTGCCAGCATAAAAAGAAGTGGAGAGGAAGAGAGGAGCCTTGCAGGTTCTCCTAAGTGTTGTTGTTTGGAGTTGATGGTTCTCCTGGAGGAGCTTGTCATGCTGGCTTCCCTATGAACCCGGCTGTTACCATCTGAGGAGCTCAGGACCTTATTCTCACTGAGAATGGCTGCAGTTCACCTTGGGGGAATCGCTGATTCTTACTTTGAGCATCACTTTCTGGCTCTGGAGGGGAGGATGTGATGCTCAATCTTCAGGAAAGGTTTGTCACACTGGCTTCCTGCTATGTACTCTGCAATTCTCACTGTCAGAGGAGCTCGGGACCTCACTGTCACTGAGAATGGTTGTGGTACTTTTGCGGGGAGCCCTGGTCCTTATTTTGAGCATTGCTTCTTTGCTCCGGTACAGAACCCTCAGCCTCCTAGCGCAGATCCTTCATTCCACTGGAATAGACTTTCTAGCTTCCACCATTGATCTTTGGGTCTTCCCAGTGCAGAGCTGTGACATAGATTGCCCAAGTCATTGTTGTGGGCTCTCAGCCTCCATTTGTACTTGTGGGAGGCACTGTCATGGGCTCTAGGTCTTCAGCTGAACTCACTCAGGTTATTGTCATGGAATACAAGTCCTCTGATGGATTTTCTAGGTCTGTGTGTGAACAGATTTCTTGTAATTTCTTTATATTTGACTCTGGGTGACTATCATAAATAATACTATAAATTATGTGTCCTGTATTGTATTGTTCTCCTTGCAAACTTTTGACTACAGCAGAGAGATTTCCAGGTCAGGTAGAGAACTACAGACTATGAAGTTGAGTAGATCCAAGGGGGACAGTTATGGCTCTAGGGCAAGGTGAAGTTACTGGAAGCTTAATACCTTGGAAATCAATGTGGAAATTATCCTCAGCCAAGTGGTTGTATAAAAATCTGAAGAGTCAAAGGGGTTATTTTAAGGCTTAGCTTTGTATATATATATATTTTTTTAAATTTAGAACTAATAACTCCACAGCAGGAAAACATGCTAACACTAAAATTATTAATTGTGTGATAATTATGTATGTAATATAATTAATCAATATAATAATTAAAGTAATGAATCAATTAGCTGGTTAATAGTTCAGGAATATCTTTGACCTTTAACTTCTAACCTTGTCCTTTTCACTGAAGTTGAAGCTCAGAATAAATCGTTATTGGGAGGGCCAGCCACATGAGGGGGCAGAATAGTCACTGACATCATGTGAGGGATGCCATGAGGGCCCTTTGCCTAAAAATATCTCTCTGACATCAAGCCTGTTTGCCACTAACTTTAAAATTATAGTCAAGAATGTTAAAACTATTATCTGTTAATCCCATTCTCTTTGGCTTGAATCAGTGACTTAAATATACCTGCTATGTGTTATCATGACCTTGTTGGCCTATGACAGCTGGTCGCCATCTTGTCCTTTCAGGCTATGACCTATTCTGTCCTTGGTACCATCTAAGCCACCACATTCTTGGCCACCACCACGCAGATAGCTTGTGTAGGGCTGTGATTTCTACAGAATCAATGAAACATCACAGTACAGTACGGAAAAAAAAAATCAGGATTTCTGGTTGATACCTGCTCTAGGCTGCTGACAGTAGCCTACAACATTTCAGAGATCAAGGTTTTATTGTCACACTAGCACAGGTCCTTGTTTCAGTGATAATGGAAATTAAAATGGAGGCAATCAGCACAAATTTCAGATGAAGCTGTAACTGGAAAGTAAGAGAAATAGGAGAGAAACTTTAGCTTCAGGAGCTTGAGGGGAAATTTGTTGTTGTTTTATTTTATTTTATTTTAATTTTGAGATAAAGGTTTTATTTAGCTCACAGTTTATAGAGGTTTCAATCCACAGTTGGCAGTACTCTACATGATC